GCACTCTGGGACTTTTGACCACAAACTCATGGTCTCATTGGCTACACTGGACTTTGCTCTCCACTCTTCTAATTGGCATGCATGTTTTGGAGGCTAAGAGTGAAGACCTCCTCCAGCTCTCCCACCTCATCTTCTCACACCTATTTGTTGTGGGTCCATCCCTGTGTCATTAGTTTATCTAATTCAGGACTTGAAAAACCCACTTGCCAGTAGTTAGTGGGGAGCTTTCCATAGCAAGCCATCAGTTTCTCTAGAATATAATTTTTATTTGAAAAATAGCTAGTCTGGTTGAAAAGAAACCTGAGGAGATGCAGTGTGGTCTTCCTGAATCTGCAGACATTCAGCTCCTGTGCTGCTGCTCCCCTTGTGCTGTTCATAGCACACAGCAGAATGAAATTGACAAGACCCCGCATGGGCAGTTATTGACAACCCTGTGGCAGCAGCACTATTGACACTGTTCTGTCAAGAATAGTGTTGATTTCATGCTGTTGCTAGTGAAATCTAAGGGCTGCAGCAGGGATAGACACTAGAGGTATTCTCAGAGGAGAAGGGCCAAACCATGGAGGGAGAGGGAAAATATTGAAGAGATCTCTCCACCCCTCACAGCAGCCAGGGGGATGGGGGAGAGACCTCCGCCCCGCTCCCAGAGGTTCTGGTTGGGGAAGAGGAGACAGACAGCTCCTCCTCCCTTCCAATAGCCGGAGAAGGTAAGAACTTCAAATTTATATCATGTTTCCTAGCCAAATGTTAGGGGATTGTTAGCCCTTTACTAAAACTCATGGGGTTTTTTTTGGTTGGCTAGCTCCCAGTACCAAAAGAAAGGGGAAGGGTCAATGGGAAATCAGGACCCTGAGACTGACAGTCCCCAGGAACAGTGGGGAGAGGCCAATGCTCCAGGTCAGCCTGATTGACAGGGCAGGCAGGCGAATGAGGGAGTCAGGAGTCCCAGGGGGTCCCGTCCTCTGGGTGAGCTGGAATTGCCTGGAACAGAGTTGGGCTGAGCTAAGCAGAGAGCAGGGGCCCGAGCTGAACTGGGGAGCAGAGCCGCGCCAGCCAGAGAAGCAGCCCAGAGAGCAGACCTGTGCTGGGAGCAGAGCTGCAGCAACCAGGGCCAGAGGAGCCAAAGGAGCAGCCCAAGAGGCTAGAGGCAGAGCAGCAGCAGTGCTGAGGCAGAGTGGAAGTGGAGGTGGAGCTGGAGCCGTCCGGAGCCGGATGTGGTGAGCAGCTGGGAAGGGCGAGGGGGACCCTGGGCAGCGGGCCCAGCACAGGGAGATGCCCCCAGCCAAGAGACCTTGCGGGCCAGACTTGGGGGGCATTGTAACCCCAACGGGGGGCTGACTCTGGGAAGAAGGGTCCTGCCACCTAGAGCCTCAAGGCGTGTGGCTTCCGCCAGAGCAAGTGTCTGACCCGCAGCGTCCCTGCAGCACAGCCGGGGCCTGGGCAGGGGCCTGGGCCGTGGGAGGGACAGACTGTGAACTGCCCGGACGTTCCATAGATGGCTGGTTGTGATGTCCCCGTGCCACAGAGCAGGCTGATGGGTTTTCCTTTCACCTTTCCCATTTTTCCTTATTTTTTAAAATGGATTGCTGTTTAATAAATTGTATTTGCTTTGAACTGTATGGAATGATCAGTGGGTCAGGGAAGCGTCCAGAGCAGAGAGAGCCCCCCGGAGTGGGGACACTCTAACCCCTGCCCTAAGCGACCACAACAAGGTGGGGGGGATCGAGCCCCCCAGAAATCCTGGGCCCAGCCTAGGACTCTGCCACACAGGAGAGTGGAAGGGGAGCCCTCGAGGTCAGGCAGGCCTCTGGATAAAGGGAGTGGGAGTGAGGACTCAGATCCTTTCGCCAGCCCATTTCACCGGGGTCGTGTGTAAACCAGGAAAGTTCCCCACAGTAGCGGGACCATTCCCCAGCTTACACAAAAGCTGATAGGACAGATAAGGGTGTCCAAGCAGAGCTCAGTACAAACTCCAACACCCTCCCTGTTTTCCTTGTGAACATTGCAGTGGGGCTGGGCAGCAAAGGGTGTTGCCTCTGAGCTTCATTGGTGCCCCCCCGCCCCCAATCTGTCCTTTTGTCTGCCACCGGGTAGTAGATGATATATTCACTGAACCTTGATCGAATGTTCTCATAGACATCCCTACGTCTATATGAAGTTGTAGAGGGGAGAGGAGGGGATTGCTGCTGAGAATTAGGATTTGTGTAGTGTACCTACTATTTCTATATATGATTCCTTGTTCAGTAGAATCAAGCAGGAATTGCCTTTTTCTTGGATGTAGACACACGGACCTGCAGTGAGCTGGTGTGGTTGCTTTCCAGGGGAGAAAGTGTAATTTTGTTTCTTTCTCACTGTTGTGCTCTCCCACATACACACACCCTGTACTTGTACCTCTTTGTCCGATCCCACTCTCCACTTTCCTTTCCTATCCAATTGGCCCTGCTCATTCCCTCTCTCCCGTTGTTTTCCCCTGTTCTCCCACCGGACCTTCCGGCAGCAAGAGAGACTGCGGCAGCCAGTGCTAGCCTCCACTGCCACCTCTTTTTTTCTCTGCCAGCAGTGTGGGAAGTCAGGACAGACAAGTAGAAGTAGCCTGGCTGCCTGGAACTGTGTCTTGACAGCAGCACTGTACAGCCAGGAGAACATAAGAACGGCAATATTGGGTCAGAACAATGGTCCATCTAGCCCAGTATCCTGTCTTCCAATAGTGGCCAATGCCAGGTGCTTCAGAGGGAATGCACAGAAGAGGACAATTTTGAGTGATCCATCCCCGGTTGTCCAGTCACAGCTTCTGGCAGTTGGAGGTTTAGGGACACCCAGAGCATAGGGTTATATCCCTGATCATCTTGGCTAATAGCCATTATCCTCCATGAACTTACCTAATTTTTTCAAAGGAGGAGTAACTGCTGGGAAGATCTTGCAGTCTGCTGAATGCCTGGGTTCCACCAGGGCTGTGGTTATGCCGGAGCAGGATAGACAGGGAGATAGCTCCAGGGATGACACTTGGCTGTTGTATACATCCCATTTAAAATTCTTTAATTATTTTTGAAGTTGGTTTGCACGTGTGATTGCATTGTAGCAGTTATCCTGCATCTGAGGAGATGAGCATATGTTTTTCAGAAGAGCTGGTGACAATGCTGCATCACTGGAAGTGGACTGGAGAGACTATTTGCATTGCTGCTGTTCTATCCTTGTATTCAAGCAGTCATGAGATTTGGGTGGGATTTCCCTTCAACTGTGAAAAGATTAGGGGGGAAAATCACCAAAGAAGGAACTTGTTTTGATGACAGAGGTCTAGAAAGCTTGTAATGGGTTTAACTGTTGGCCTTATGCAAAGTCATAACTCTTAGTTTTTCTATATCATCCCAAAGTGTTCCACACATTAATAATGGTTCAGATTTGCAATGGATTCTATTAAACACTTTGGGCTATATATTGACTTTTCATGCGGGCACACCTCCCCTTTGAAATCAGTGGGAGAGGTTTATGTGTGTGTGTCTGCATGTGCGTGTGTGTAAAAGATGCATTTTTATTCTTGCAAAAGTCAGTGGCTCTACAATTGTTGTGAAGCCTGACTTTCCGAATGATGATGTAAAATATTATGCAATAAATTGTAAATATGACCGAGTCAAGCTGATTGTGGTATTTCCTAGAGGGAACTTCATGGTAGAAATACTTGAACAAGTGATACAATGCTGTCGGTTCAACATGCAATCTACTGGCTTCTTACAATATTCTGTAATGATCACACTTCATAATGTAGCTGAGTTGAGGCAAAAGTTTTGCACTTGAGGTAGCTTTTCTGTTGGCCGAAGTGGCATACTAAGATACAAGTCTTCCCACATTTTGAAGTCAGTTATTCAGGTTTTATATATAGCATACAGAGAGTAGTTTAATTGTGCCTCTTTTTCAAGTTTGTTTAATTAACCAAGAAGTCTGAGCCTATTTTTAATAAGACTACATTCTGGACTTCAGAGTTTAGCAAAAAATTGCCCCGTAACATGTTCTAATTGATGCAGAATTGAGTAAGAATATGCTTATGAAACATGCAGAGACCAATATTGAGAACTGTATTGCCTTTTAAATTAAATATGCCTAAATGTTGATAGTTCCAGGAACCCCATTCTGACTGGCTTGATGCATAATAAGAGATTTTAATTTAAATTTTCAAGTAGTTACAAAATCTACTTTTAAAACTTTCTGATGACACTTTTCATCAAGAAAGCTTTAAAAGTTGCTGTGATTATTAGTTTGGTTTGTAAAAGCAGTGGAAAAGCCCAGATGACGTTCCCATAATTTTAGTCTGCATTGAATTTGTGGGTTTTGGGTATATCATCCTCTCTCATCCTCCAATAAATTATGCCTTGCCAGGATCACCATAAACCTTGGGCCTAATCTAATAACACAAACAAGTATAGCTGAAGCACAGCAGCCTGGCAATTATTGCCAACTGACAGAGTGTCTCCTACAATTACTAAGGCGGTTTCCAAACAAATTCACCCACTCCTGTCTCTCGTCTGAGTGCTGGGATGAGGTCCAAGCCCAGGTCTATTCCATCTATTCCAGTGAAAGTTTCAGAAAGCATTGATAATCCTTTCTAAACCAAGCATGAAACTAACTCTTCTAGGACTGTACAGTTTTTTATTTCAAAAATGGGAGAGATCAGTCCGGTCATATTTGCTGAAGAGTGGTGACATGATTTCGTTGTAAATACACCCAGAGAGCTTTGCACCGAATAAGCATTTACGTGTGTGTGGGTGTTTAGTTAAAGCTATGCATGGATGATGTCTGTTGTGGTTTTGTTAGGCTTCCAGAGTGAGGGGTTTTAGCACTTTAATCCTGAATGACAGTTGGAAGGTTGGTGGTTTCAAACAGTGGCATGGAGGGGCCTATTTGTCTTCAGCAGAACAGTGCCCCAGTGTATCTGGACTGCCTGTACAGAAGCACTAAATCTGTTTTGTTTTCTTTTTCTCCCATATCCCTCTTCCCCCTCCCCCCAGGCCAGGACTCACTCCTATTGCTGAAAACCCTTCAGTCCCTCTGGACAAAGAAAGAGATGAACAAGGTAAGTCTGTATAGTGAACCTCCCCTTCACACTGGAGCTAATAACGGTATGCAAAACATGTCCAGCCTCAGAGCCCTTGGGTCAGACCCGCAATTCTTCATGATTGCTTTCAATTCCAATACATAGGGGAAGGACCTACGGATCTGCAGTGTGAAGGGAAAATAAAAGGCAGCCTTGTCCAATGTTCAGCAGTCGTGGGACACACATACAAGGGCTGCAGTAGACAGGCTGAGTTGTTAAAAAAAACACAAAGTCAATCTTTTATTTTAAACATTTTTTTTGTCCAATTAATGTAGAGAGTAAGAAATCTGAAGATGTGAAGTACCCTGTCATCCTTACACCTGTCAAGGAGAGTGTTGAAATTGCCAGCACATCTTCCCATGGTGGGGTGGGGGCGCTTTGCTAAGTGGATAAATATTTAAGCCTTCATATTTCATGACGTCTTTTCATTTTTGGAGCAGTGTGCTGCGGTTTGGTTGGACAGTGTCTCTGTGAAATTATTGATATATTTTTAAACAGTCCTATGTTTTCTAGGTGCTATGTATAGATTTCTCCAAGGGAATGATACATACTTCATCTAAATTTGGGAACTCAGAAAATTAACAAAAAAATTAGATATAACTGGTTAGTGTTTAGCTTCCCATGCTTAGCAGTCTCTGCTTTGCAGCCAGGTTAATAGCATAAATGTTTTCCTGAAATACCTGGGAACGTGCAAAATATTATATCGTTGTGTGGAATATACCCAATCGACTGTATGCTAGTATGCCCAAAGTACCATAGCCTACGTGCTCCAGCCTAGTTGTCAGATTTGCTTGGTCATCATACTTGACTGGTGCATTTCATAGAATCATAGAATATCAGGGTTGGAAGGGACCTCAGGAGGTCATCTAGTCCAACCCCCTGCTGAAAGCAGGACCAATCCCCAGACAAATTTTTGCCCCAAATCCCTAAATGGCCCCATCAAGGATTGAACTCACAACCCTGGGTTTAGCAGGCCAATGCTCAAAACACTGAGCTATCCCTCCCCTCTTCCGGAATTTATACCTTCCAGCTCTTCTGGCTTGCGGTCCCCCAGCCTTAGTAATTGAACAGCTGGAAATACAACAATCGAGAGGTATCTTTTTGAATCGTCAATTACTGACACAGACTAGAGCTCAGCAATTCTGAAGACTGAGGCTTTCTATCAACTTATGCTAGAGCAAGAGGAAAACATTAATTGTTAGGGTTTGAGGACAGTTCATTCCACCAGAACTACAACAGGGAAAAATAATCATCAAAATCTATACACTGTGCAAACTGGAGTTTGGGTGGATTGCAAACCAAAATATTATGAAAAAGAGTTTCCCATTAAAGTGTCCTGGGCAGACTATACCACATCTTTTTTGTAACTTAAGGGTCTCCATGACTCATCCCAGCCTACATAACTTATTCAGCAAGTCTCTCAAACTGTGTCATCCCAGGAATGCATGTGATTTCAGGTTATTTGCTGTGAACTGCTCCTGAATTACTCGAAAGGAAGACAAACCCCCTTACAGAGTAAATGTTCATCATACACAATGTGCGGGCTCATGACAGGCATGCACAGCCACATGGATCCCACTCACTACACTACTTTCCATATCTGCCAATGCAGATGAACCACTTCTCTCTAAAACTGAAAGATGGGCCTGCAGACCAGGAGAAAAGTAATTTGTATAGATGAGACAGGGAAGCATGGCAATGACAGTGGGGGGTAAAATGATTCAGTGATTCTAATGTTGGGACTGTACTTTTGATGTCTACACACACACACACACACACTCTCACTCTCTCTTTTCTCCCTCAGCTGTCATCAGGTTGCTGCCACGCAACGGTACTAATCAGTTTTTTGGGGCATTTCCTACCTTCAGATATACAGTTGTGTCCCGTGTTGATGCCAAGGGGAGCTGTGTGCATTCATTTGAGAACAGAATAAGGCCCTGAATTTGTAACCACTCATCCCATCCCTATCTACCATTTGACATCATCACTGTTCCAGACAAAATAATTTGAAGCAAAGTGACCCTAACCTTGAATTTACAGTAAATGAGTAAAGTTAAAGATTAGATACATTGATTTCACCAAGGCACCTATTGCTTCAACCTGGCACAGGCTGTGGTGGCTTATGTACGTGATTTCTGTTAATGCTAAAGAGAGTTAATCACTTCCATTAACCTCCCCCACCTCTCCACCCCTTGAACACTGATTGAAAAATAGATCTCTACATTAGGCTAGGACTCCAATTCTGGGGGTTTAGAGAGTTCAATGATTTGTACATAGAAGAGAAATAAACTTAATTTTTGAGTAATCCAGCAGGATTAGCAGAAGGTTCTTTGCTTTTGTAACTCAGAATAATGGGCAAAACAACATAGACTGGACATCAGCAAAAAGCTTCTTAACTGTGAGGTTTATTAGGGGGAGGAATACTCTCCCAAGGAAGCGTGGTTATGTGAATCATTGCTAGACTTGCCACATAATTGCAAATGTACTTAAGAAAGAATCCTGCACTGGCAGAGTGATGAGCATGGTGACCTAACAGGTATTTTCATCTCTGATTTCTTATATTCATTCAGGTAATACTTTCTGTACATTACATGCCATTTATCACTCCCTTAGATCATTAGCAGACTTTAAAGAGAGATTTTCCCACTGCTTAGAATATCTAAGTGATCCTTAATCAAAAATCAATCCAGACATATTGTCATTGCTGTTCTTGCCAGTTTTGCAACTGTTCTGAGATGTGTGTGTGTGAGTGAGGGCTTGCTCTCTTACGAGGCCATTGTGTTCTGTAGCGCATCTTGCCAAAGCTCGGATTCTGACTCCAGCCAAAGGAGATGCTGAGCTGTGCGGAGAAAGCTCTTGTTCAATTCCAAATGTGCTGAAGTGGGGCTTTGAAAAAAGAGACCATTTATACATAGTGCAGTTTACTTGGCTAGTCACTTTGTTTTCCTTTGGCTGTTGTGTCAGATATTTGTGGTTGGCGTTCCACTGTAGCCTGGCTTCTCCTTCTGCTGAATTTTGCAGTGAGGTTAGAGTCCTGGGTTTGACATCACGATCCCTTGCTACAGGGAAAAATACTTAGGGAGACTTAGCTTAGCAGACTTTTGTCTAAACACACATCTTTGTTAGTCATCAGCATTGTTCTTGATGCAGTTGATAACCTAGTAAAGAGAAACAGATTTATATTTGTTATAGTCTCAAGGTTTTCCAACATGAAAGGGGATACGGAAAATTACTGGCAAATCACACTGTCTTCCAATACATATTTTAGATGAATAAAAAGGAAAAAACTGACTGACATATTTTCTCTAGATGTTCTTTTGTTTTCCATGTCATTCTTCAGTCTTTTTTATACTGTTTCCATTGGAAGCTGCAACTGGGATCATCATGTAGAATAAATTAGTAAAACTTGCTGCAAGCAGGAATCAGCATCCTTCAGATTTTGCCTCTTAGCCAGAAAAAAGAGAGCAGCTGCTGTTACTGAATTCTTCTCTTCTGTCTCTGCTCTCCCCTTGCTCCATGCATGTACCATGTGGTGAAAGGTACTTGTGGGGCTACTCAAGGATGCCACTTCTTCTCCCTGCCAACCCTCTGAGCTCCTTGGAAACTACCCTCTAATGTAAACATTATAAAGATATTGCCCAGTACTGTTAATTTATCACTCAGACCAGATGGGTAGTAAGTTGCCTATTAACATTCACAAAGTGAGCGTTCAGTTCCTTAACTTTTCTAAACAGATCACCCTGAAATTCCTTAGATTTATAGCATAATTTTTTTCCACGTTCCAAGCTTTTCAGCACTCCATCTTATAACTTTAATGAGATGTCCACTATAAAATTGCAATGGTAGCCTAAACCAAATACCTCACCCTTCTTTGGAGAAGGGGAAATTGGATTTCAAATAAGGCAATTTGAGTTTTCAACAAGTCTGATGCTAAATGTTTTATCCTGTATTTAAAACCTTAATTATTTTAGTCTCAGGGTTTTCCACTCTAGTGTAAGGTGTTGCATAATTGTGATTGCAGTGGTTATGTGATGAATATAAACGTTTGCAGTGCAGGAATGGAGAGTTGTTTTTTTTTATCTGTGTTCTTATCTGTAGGTATATTAGAAGTGCAGATAATAGGATTTGTAAACCTGTCTGCCTTTACTGTCGCCACTTCTCCAATAACACCCCTCTCCCCCAAATCCTAAGCCCCTTTGTCTGTCCTGCAGAACAACTTCTCTGTCTTTATGGGATAATTAGTGTGGACAATTGCTGCTTTTCCCATTGGGTTTGAGGTGCAATGGGCCATGAAGGAATCTGTAATGACATGAAAAGTCACTAGAAGCACGGATGGTGGTTGAATAGCAACAGTTACCTCCCTGAATAGATTAAATTAAATAATAATAAAAAATCTTTGTGTTGAGCTGGGGGAAGGGAGGATTCACTAATCTATTTGTACATGACAATGTATTTTTGTATCTCAGCAGCTCAAGGAAGAAACCAGGCGGGGTTTTGCAGCTCTGGAAGACCCATTGGCTGGACTCCTGGACATGCTGGAGAGTAGCAGTGACTGGAAGGGGAAAGGGCACTCCCTGGGGTATTACATCACCAATGAGTTGCAACTTTGGATAAAGGAACATCCTGCTGTTCAGGAGGTTAGAGAAAGAAAGAGACAGAGACTGGAGAAAAGAGAGAGGGATTTTCATGCTCCCAAAGTGCCTCCCTCTCCTCCAATCACTTTATTCCATAGTCCAGTTCCTTTCCATTAGTGCACCCACAAGCATAATGTGACCTGCTGATGGAATTCATACTGAGGCAGTATGTCCAGTGATGCTGGCCTGAAAGTGAAACGACACCAATGGTGCTAAAATACTTTCCCATTTCCTCCCACTGCCTGGGATTTCTATCTCCCCAAATCAAGCTGCCTTGCTGGAATATGGACCTTTCAGTCTTTCCCCTGGCTGGAGGCTTTCCCATTGGAACCAACATCCCATAAGCCCAATCACTGTATGGTCTTCCAGTTTTGCACATAGAAGACAATTACTGAATAATTATTTAACTCTGGCAATGTGGTAGCAGCTTCTATCACTTAAAGTGCTGAAAGTGGTAACAATATGAATCTCCTGGTAGCTTGAGTGATCAAGCTGAAGTTGTAGGGTCATCAAAGTAGTAATTCATCCATTTCCTTGGCCTGTTGCATTCTGATACCTTGAGATTTTTCCTTTCTCTATACTGCTCTCTGTGAACTTTAGGTGGTTTTGTCTTTGTACTGTTTTATTTTTCATTTTTTCCCAAGTGCCTTAGTTTGCGAGTTCAGCTTCTCCATTCAGAGCCCCAAGATCTCTATTTTCTGCCATTACAGTCTGTTGTAGTTGAATCAAACACAGGACTGAGAGTCAAGAACTTCCAAGTTTTAATAGAATGATCATGTATGAAAGTATGTATTAGTAGTTGTGTCCTTGTGTCATCACACCATCCTTTTGCCTCAAGGCCGCTCTAGGACCTGGCAACAAGACTGGGAATGAAATTGAGTTCTCATGCATGGCCGGGAAGGGTTGCCTGTGGAGAGTTGGTGGATGCAAGAGCCAGGAGGCTTGTTTCTGCTGAGGGCACTTACCACAAAAGGCACCTCCTCTGACCTGGTTTCTAACTCCCGCGTTGAGTTGGAGGTGTGACTACTTCAAGAAGTTCTGTTAGCAAAAAGGGGTGTTCCCTATGCTCAGATTGATATTTGTACCGGCCTCTCCAAGTTCTACCCCACCAACATTTAATGTTGTTTTAATTGGCCACTGTGAAGTGATGTGTGTAGTATGTTGCCCTGATTTCTGTGTCAAAATCCAAGGGGGAACTGGAGAACCCCTTTCCAATGGATTGCCTTGTCTGATGTTTTAAAAAGCTACATTTTGGACTGTCATTGAATTCTGTTGGTCTTTATGAAACCTGTGTTTGACTCTGATTTCTTAGTCTGGCTTGAGGCTGAAGAAACTCCAGACCCGAGTGTTCAGAATACTAGCCCAGAGCCAAGTTAATCTCCTTGACCCTCTGATCAGCATTTTTCAGCTACATACAGCAGACCAGAACAGTTTGCTTGGACATGTCAGTCACGTTTACCACAAGGGCAAGTACAAAGAGGTGGGTCTTGATTTTCAACTTGATTTTCACACTGAGAGCTCTGATTCTCTGTTAGTGTCTGGGCCTGTTTTTCATTATATTTCTGTGTAAATTCCATTTCATAACGGCAGCAAGGCCTGTGTGTAGTGTAATTTAGTATGATTGTTGTACTTGTTGGTACTTATTTACTCTTCCTTCAACCTCATACTGGGAGAGCACACAACTCCAGTCAAACCCAACTCCCTTTGTGAGTTTTGCAAGAATTTTGTTAATTTTTTGGGTACTTTATTTTGGGTGTTTAATAAAATAAAAAATTATCCATTCCACATGTCCTGGTTTTGACCAGAAATGGAATATTGTGAGGGACATCTTTTGTGGTATATATCACCTGACTGAAAATCTTACCAGACAGATTCTCTGTTTCATGGGATTACTGAATCAAGGTGTGAATGTGACAGACAATCCTGGCACTAGGACTATGAGGCCTCTGCTACAAGCCACGGTGAGGATGTCTACATTGTGCTGATTCTACTGTAACCTCTTGTAGGGCTCCTTTCAGGTGGGGCAGTAACAAACGTTCAGATGTGAGCCTCTTCGCCCCCTTCTATCCCACCTTAAGTCTTCGGAAGGTTGAAATCCTTCTAAATATTTGATATTATTCTCTGCTTTCTCCAACCCCCTGTTTAAGCCCTAAGGGTTATCTATAGAATGGGGCACCAACATTTCATCAGAGAAATACACTCTCTTTAGTCCACTGGACACATTTAATATTCTCATGTGAACAATGCATCCTTGCCTCATGTGTTCATGTCCCACCTCTCACAAATCGCATAAGAGAACAGTGTCTCTGCAGACAATGAAGTCCCTGATGTTCCTAGAGACCGGTGTGCTTGTTATCTCATTTACTTCTAAAGCAGATCTGATCCCTCCCATGGCCTTCAATATTAGAGCTTCTCAAAGGCTGAACCAATTTGTCTGTCAGAATAACAGTAATTTGTGCAGCTGAGCCAAGCATTCTCTTGGGATTTGTGAATTTTGGGTTGTCACCTCCAGTGCTAATAGAACACTGTGGCTATGGATGGAAGTAGTGGGGGGATAAAAAGTAGTAATAGGAAGATAAATCTTGAATTATTTGGAGATAGCACCCTTTTGTTGGCAGATGCCACAGATGTGAATAATTCCTGCAACTCAGAGTTATGAGCACCTCAGGAATGGAAGTTGTTTGCAACTCTAAAATGTTCATAACTCTGAACAAAATGTTAGGGTTGTTCTTTCAAAAGTTTACAGCAGAACATTGATTCTTCTTCGAGTGCTTGCTCATATCCATTCCAGTAGGTGTGTGCGCGCCGCGTGCACGATCGTCGGAAGATTTTTACCCTAGCAACACCTGGTGGGTCGGCTGTGGAGCCCCCTAGAGTGGCGCCGTTATGGCGCTGGATATATACCCCAGCCGACCCAGCGCCCCCTTAGTTCCTTCTTACCGCCCCTGACGGTCGTTGGAACTGTGGAGCGCGGCTTAGCTGATCTCCACACTCCCTAGCTTCTCATTGTTGTTGTTATAGTTAGTTATATAGATAGTTATTCAAGTTAGTTAGTTAGTTAGTTGTATAGTGTATATATATAGTTGTATATTGTTATCGGGGGTTTAGGGGGTGTTTTTCCCCTTTTCCCCCCCGGCGCACAGCCGGGCCCATGCCCAAGGCTCCTGGCTTTAAGCCGTGCGCGTCCTGCGGGAAGCATATGCCAACCAGCGACCCGCATAGTTCCTGCTTGAAGTGCCTTGGAGAGGCTCATCCAGCAGATAAGTGCCCTATCTGCAAGGCCTTCAAGCCAAGGACAAGAAAGGAGCGGGACTTTAGACTCCGTCAGCTCCTGATGGAGGCGGCTCTGAGTCCGGATCCTCCCTCGGCGCGCCCTGTCCCGGCACCGAGCGCTTCGGTGCGCAGCGCCCCGGCGGGCCCGACCGGTGCGGCGGAAAAGACTGCTCGGCACCGACCGACGTCGGCACCGCGCCCGCCTAAAGAACCTCGGCGCCGATCCCTTTCTCCGGGCCATAAGAAGGCCGGCAAGGCGCGGGACGTTGCTGCCGCGAAGATACCGGCTCCCCCGGTGCCGGGGGTAGAGCCGCGTCCGCAGTTGGACCGCCAAAGACAGGCGGCCACACCGTCGACTCTGGCACCGAGGCCGTTGAGTCCGGTGCGGACTGTTTCACCACCAAGGCTGGTGGTGGAACCTTGTCTCCCTTCCACCCCGGAGACCTTTGCTACGGCGAGAGACCTGATCGCCCTCACGGAGCCGGCGCCGTCACAACTCCCGGCACCGGTGGCTCCACGCGTGCTGCAGTCCAGAGGAAAGCCTGCCCTGGTGCACCCACCGTCGCCAGCACGAGTCTCTCGGCACCGCTCCAGATCCCGGAGCAGGTCCCGACGCCACTCTGAGTCCCGGCGCCGAATATCACCTCGGCATCGGTCGTACTCGCGGCCCAGATCCTCTTCACGGCGCCGTTCAACATCCCTGCACCGTCGCGACGACCGGCACCGATCGGGCTCGAGACGCAGCTCCCGGCACCGGTATGAGCGCCACTCGGGCTCGAGGGGCCGCTCCCGGTACCACGCCACCTCCAGATCGTCGTCCCGTTCCAGATCGGGATCCCGGCACCGGAGGGACTACCGGCACCGATCCAGATCCCGGCACCGCTCTCCGGCACCGAGGGACAGATCGCCTTACGGCCGGCACCGATCGGCACCGTACCATCCGGTACCGACGGCGTCGGGTTCGGCACCGCAGTGGCCGTCGAGATCGGCGTCGCGATCATCTGAGGCAGTGGAGGCCGGCCACCTGCAGGAGACCGACGACCCTATGCAAGGACCTGCGCATTGGTCCTTCTGGACTCCTTGGGCCTACCATCAGGCACAAGGAGCTCCGCTATCTGCCTCCCGCTCGGGCCGTTCGGAGCCTAGGGCCCCAGAGTCCACTATCTCCCGCCCTCCTCCAAGGGACGTGGAGGCTCCAGTGCCCGCACCAGCAGAGGCCCTGGACCTGGGGGCATGCGAGGCCCAACTCCAGGAACACCTGGAGCAGGACCAACCATTGGACCCCTTGCCACCGGGGGCATCCTCCTCGTCCTCGCCTGATGAGGCCGTAGCGGGCACATCCGCCATTGGGCCGCCTCCTATAGACCTTCGGGCCCACCAGGACCTGCTGCGCCGCATGGCTCGCAATATGGACCTCCAGGTGGAGGAGATTGCGGAGGTCCATGATCCCATCGTGCAGATCATTTCAGCGGATGCTCCATCCAGGGTGGCATTACCGCTGATCCGCACTATCCAGGCGAACGCCACCACCATCTGGCAAACCCCGGCCTCTATTCCGCCCACGGCCAGAGGGGTTGAGAGGAAGTACTTTGTGCCCTCCAAGGAACATGAGTACTTGTACACTCACCCCCAACCGTGCTCACTGGTGGTTTCATCAGTCAATGCACGGGAGCGCCATGGCCAGCAGGCTGCTGCGCCCAAATCGAAGGACGCTAAGCACTTCGATTTGTTCGGACGCAAGGTCTATTCGGCTGGCGGACTGCAACTGCGGGCAGCGAACCAGCAGGCGCTCCTGAGCCGCTACGGATTTAATATGTGGTCCTCGATGGGGAAATTTAGAGAGCTGGTTCCCCAGGAATCGAGGGAAGAGTTCGGGGCCTTGGTAGAGGAGGGCAAGCGGGTGGCATGCACCTCCCTGCAGGCGTCCCTTGATATAGCGGACTCGGTCGCTAGGACCCTGGCGTCGGGGATAGCAATGCGCCGAATCTCCTGGCTCCAGGTGTCAGGCTTGCCACCTGAACTGCAGCAGACCCTGCAGGACCTACCGTTTGAGGGCCAGGGCCTCTTTTTGGAGAAAACAGACTCGAGGCTCCAAAATCTTAAAGACTCTCGGACAATGATGCGCTCCCTGAGGATGCATGTCCCAGGGCCTCAGCGCAGACCCTTCAGGCCCCAGCCTCAGCGGTTCTACCCTCCCCCGCCTCGTCCAAGACAGGACTTTGCTAGGAGGCGGGGTCGAGGTGGTAGGCGAAGGTCGACCGGCCCTCAACCCGGTCAGAACCAGGGCCAGCCTAGACCACCTTCAGGGCCTAGGCAAACCTTTTGAAGGTGCGGTCGAGGACGGCACCACGACCGGTACCCAGGATCCAACTCCCCCCTTCCGGGATCGCCTCTCCCGCTTCCACCGTGCTTGGTCCCGTATAACCTCGGACCGTTGGGTCCTTCGCACGGTGGAGAGGGGATACGCCCTCCAGTTTTCCTCGCCCCCCCCCTCCCACTCCCCCTCCCCGTCCCTCTTCAGGGACCCTTCTCACGTGCAACTCCTTACACAGGAGGTTTTTGGGCTCCTCGCTATGGGGGCCATAGAGGAGGTTCCATCGGAGCTAAGGGGCAGGGGGTTTTACTCCCGCTACTTCCTGATACCCAAGTCAAAAGGGGGTCTACGGCCCATCTTAAACTTGTGCGGACTCAACAAATTCATAGTAAAGTTGAAGTTCCGCATGGTGTCATTGGGGACCATCATCCCTTCACTGGATCCTGGAGACTGGTTCGCCGCCCTCGACATGAAGGACGCTTATTTCCACATAGCAATTTATCCGCCCCACAGACGTTTCCTGCGATTTGTGGCAAACAGGGTGCACTACCAATTCGCAGTCCTTCCCTTCGGCTTGTCCTCGGCTCCCAGGGTGTTCACAAAGTGTCTGGCAGTCGTCGCGGCCTTCCTTCGTCGACAAGGGATACAACTGTTCCCGTACTTGGACGACTGGCTGGTACGCGGCCGCACCAGAGACCAAGTGCAGGCTCATGTTCGCATAGTGACACACACCTTCCACGAGCTGGGCATTCTACTCAACAGAGAGAAGTCCACTCTAGTACCAACTCAGAGGATAGAGTTCATTGGAGCAATCCTGGACTCCAGGCGTGCCCGAGCCATCCTGCCAGACAGCCGATTTCATACCATCTCAAGCGTCATTCAAGGGCTCAGGG